TGACGGGTCTGCAGCTCAAGTCCTGTCTCCGAATGGCAGGAGCCAACCTGAGGCACAGTCTCCCAGTGGCCTGAGCCAGCACCTGACACTGGCTGGGACCCAGTCAGCCTTGTGGAGGGAGGAAAGGGACATGCCAGTTTCCCTGGACATCCTGCAGGCTGTGGGATGAACTCCTGCCCACATGGGCAGCTTAAACTCAGGGGGTGGAGAGTCCAAGTTGGGGCAAGTAAGTGGAAGAGAACTGGAGGTGACCGGAGGAACTGGGAAAGGGAACCGGGAGGGCTAACTGGGAGGAAACAGAGGAGACCAAGCGAAGGACTGGGGGGGAGGAAATGCCAGTGGGGTGGGGTGGGGTGATGCCAGGAGGGGAGAGAGACGAGAAGGAAGAGGTAAAGGGAAAGCAGGGGAGAGAAGAGGGACAGACAGGGACCAGGACATGGGGCGGCCATGGGGAGGAATGCGCAATGAAGGGCAGAGACGCTGGCCAGCCTTCAGCACACCCCAACTCCCCTGTCTTGCCAGCCCATCCCCAGTCAGCATAGACCGGGCCAGGACTCTGCTTCCCTGTGTCTGCTTCTTCCTCAGACCCACGGCATAAGCGGCACTGAAGGCAGAGTGCACAGAGACAGTGCAGATGGGCTCACTTAGAGCATCTTTCCCAGAGCAGGGACCACCCCAGGTGGATGGGGGGCTCAATTTCTCTTCCCCTGGGGCTGGCAAAACCACCCTTATCACCCCCCAAAGCAACCCCAGTGGGATGGGATGGGGTGGGGTGCTATACTCTGGCGCAGCACCATGGCAGCCAACTGCCACCTGGCTGACACCCACATAGGGGCAGCTTCCAGCAAGACCCAGGTGGCAGGCAATGGTGCCCCAGCAGGCAGGAAGAGGCAGCTGAGAGGCACTGGGGAACAAGCACCTCTTGTTCCTCACTGGTTCAACAGCTCTCCAGGTGCGGAGAAAGCTGGGAGCCATGGCATAGAGCTGGAAGTTTATGTTGCCTAAATCTCTCCTGCCCTGCTCACATGGAACCTGCTTCCTCCCATCTGGGGAATAAGAAGGTGAACAGTAAAATGCAAAGATTTGGCCACGTTCAAAGCTTGGTGAGTCCCAGAGTTCTCTCTCCTTTATATCTTCCTTGTCCTCCCGAGCCTGGAGGGCCTGGTCCCATTCTCACAGGGCTTGTGAGCTGGAATCGTCTGAGAGGAGAGAGGGAGGCCTTGGTCCTGTGATGGACACAATGTCCAGGCCCCCCCCCCCGCCCCAGTCCCCTTCCAAAGTACTCCAAGAGCTGTTCAATACCCTTCAGGCCATATTGTGGCCAGTGGGGACCTGGTGGGCCCTGGGCTTGGCTCTCCCAGTTTCTTGGGTCCCAGAACTCAGTGCCAGATGGAGATGCAGTGATTATTTGCTGAGCTGTGACACAGGTGGCAGGGAGAGAGGCACTGTCCATTCCCTTTTTCAGACTAGAACACTGAGGCTCTAAGAGGAGCCTGTCCCCCCTGCTCCACAGGCCCACCTTGGAGGCTGAGGGAAGGAGCTGCCAGGACCAAGGCCAGGTTCATTCAGCCTCTGGCCTGCTCTTGCTCCAGACCCGCATCCAGTGGAGTCACCAGCTCCCCCGCAGGCCCGCCTCCACCTCCCTGCTCCAGACCTTGCATACCTTCTCTGTAGCCATCTACCCCACCCAACCCTCCCCTGCCCAGGAGCATGGCACCTCCTCCTCACTCCCCTGCTACACGAAACCCCAAAGCAGGCCAGCCCTGTCTTCCCCGTTCCCATGGTGTGGCGGCCCCTGCCCCTGACAACATCCTCCCAGCCTAAAAGCCCCAGCTCCCAGATCCCCCTCCTCCCCAGAGGCACACATGCCTTGGGATGGCATTCTAGACCCCTGTGTACAGCTCTGCCTTCCTCTCCAGCCACTGTCCCCACCCTCCACCCGGTACCCCAGTAGCACTTTGATCTACTCTGGCAGGCCCCAACCAGCCTACAGGCTCAGCTAAGCCTGGGCGGGCCAGGAATGCTTATCTGAAACCCCCTCTAAACTGGAACTTCTCTGCATGCAGGTTCCCAGTCACCCTCTGCCTAATGGTATCCTCAGCACCTAGCGCACCACGCAGCACCTAGTGGGTACTTTATAAATCATGTCTAGTAATTATTAGACTCATTATTTCATTGATGATATGCATCTGTCCCTCACTCAGGGGTGGTGGCAGCTGACAGCTTCCCCTCAGCACCCCTATGCTTCCTCCCTGAGAGCTGGGCCTGCCCCTCAGCCACAATGAGCCCACCGCAGTTCCTGAGCCCCAAGGACTATCCCAGGAGAGCTAGCTAGACAACATGTTGACACCAAGCTCCCTTAGCTCCTTACTCCCCACTGAATCTCCAAAGCCAGTGGGTGGTCAAGAGGACCCAAGACTCCCTGTCTTCCAGCAGATCCCTGGGGCCTCTGCAGAGCCACCCCAAATGTGACATCACCTCTTCTCAACAGCTTTCCTGGTTCCCTCACTTCCTGAAACAGCTAGGGTGAGAAGATGATGCATGTGAGCCCTGCCCTTGGGAGGCTTCCAGGTTGGGAAATGAGGAATGAGCCTGACACCAGGACGAGAAAGACCCAGGGATAAAGCCAGGCCAGGAGGCAGGCACGCGCTCTTGGATGATGACAACAGCGGAGCAATCGGGGCTGCTCCTCGTTAAACACTAAGTGCAAGACTCCAAGCTAAGCAATTTATAGATGTTTTCTCATTTAATCCTTACCAGAACTCCATGGCGTAGGTATAATCCTGATTTTACAAACCGAAAAAGGAGGCTCAGAGAGAGCAAGCAATTTGTGCAGCGTCACACCAGTAGAGCTGGAATTTAAATCCAGACCTGCCAACTCCAAAGCCCGTGCCTTTTCCACCTCATTTCATGGCCACTCCAAACTCTAGGTGGTGGTTTGTTCCTTCCCTTCCAAATAAGCATCATGGTCTCTCCATTACCAATAATGTATCCGCTCCCAGCTGGGACTCCCCTCATGGGGCCCTGCCTGTCTTTCTCACATCATCCCCACCCACACGCATCACACCAGAGATTTCAACTTTGCCATCTCCCAAGTTTATCCCCTGAGCTTTGGCTTCTGTTGTTTACTCCGTCTCAAAGCCTGCCCCATTTTACAGATGAGAAAACAGAGGATTAAGACTGTTAAGTAACTAGCCCAAGGTCACGCAGCTAGGAAGCAATTGAGCCTGGTTAGAACCCAGGTCATTAGAGCATCAAGTAATTAATTTCTATTACAGACAATTAGGGAATGAGAATTAACAGGACGTGCTGCTAATGGTGCAGAAGGAGTTGGAAGAGAGAAATCAGCCAGGTTCCAGAGTGGAATCTGGCCAGGCTGGGCCCTGAGAAGTGGGCAAGGTCTGCATGGGTATATTTCAGAAGGGGAAACCAGGAGGAAAGTGCAGAGATAAGAGAAAAGACAGGGAGGGAGAGAGGGGTCTGTCAAAATTAGAGAAAAAATGTGACCTGGTAAATAGAGCTATAATAGGGTCAAGAAACACAGTTGGGCCACCACCACCTCCAGCTCACTGTGGGGTCTTGGGCAACACTCTTCCCTCTCTGAGAGATTTCTTGTCTATAAATGAAGGATATATGAGCCTAGATGGCCTTTGAGGTCCCACCTGGCCCTGATATCCAAGGAATCTCTGTGTTGACACTAGGTCTTGAAACATAGAATATGACCCCAGACCCATGTTGTGGGGTACAGGCTTGGACGCAGAGGGAAGACAGAGCCAGCAACCATCATGACACCTGACAAGAACACTGGAGGGTTGCCCCAGTTACACACCAGGAGGGGTCCATGCTCCCCAGCCCCCACCCTGTGCACCTGTGCTACAGGCACGTGTGGACTGGCTACCATGGACTTGAGCCTGTAGAAGCTGGAACATGGGGTGACCAAGTCAAGGTGCGAGTGCAGCTCATGGGGAAGGAGTGGGATATGTCCACCACTAACCAAAATTCCAGCCCCCAGTTCACCCTCAGGGAAAGGAGAAGGCAACGGGGGTCCTTGGATAAGGGGCAGAGAAAACTTTCTGAAAGTAACAGTAGGGGCTTCAGGACTGGAATAAGCAGTCTGCCAAATGGAAGGACATTTAGGGAATAAAAATGGTCTCCAATTCAAATAGCGCTGCACCCACGTATAAAGTGCATTCCAGGCCATTGGCCACGGCAGCAACTCTCCTCCCAGGGCTGGTGGGTGGTACAGCAACAGATGCTGTCAGAGATCAGAGCCAGCAGGGGCAGAAAACGCATCACTGGAGACTGTGGATACGCACACACAGGCACACACACACAAGCCTGGGTAAAGACCCCCAAGTTGGACCATCCCTCTCCCACACACAAGATGGAGCCCTTGAAGGTACTCTCCGTCTCTGGGAAACACACCTTCACCTGTCCAGGTGGATTCAGCCCTGGGATCAGATGTCTGGATGTCTCACCCTGCTCCCCCTCGCTGCAGTGCTGACATGCGTGCAGATGTGCTTTCCCACCCAAGAGGTACGAGATGGAAAGGCCCACCTGCCTCTGCACGGCTGACTTGCCCCTCTGGAGCATTGGTTCAGCCCTCACCCCTCCCACCTGTTTGACCCCTTGTCTGTCTTATTAATACTTACCCTAGATGGAGGAATGAGTGAGCCCTTGGGAGCCTCTGGGAACCAACCTCACTGGACCCTCAAGATTTATACCACAGCTAGAAGCTCAGTGCAAGTCCCAGTTCCTCTGCTTACTGGCTGTAAAAGCTTGGCCTGAGTGTCTGTGTTTTATAGGTCACGGTGAAGATTACATGGGAACTGTCTGCAAAGCAGTTAACACGGAGCAGTACACAGAATAAACCCTTATTGATGAATGGTACCTTTATTACTAGCATTTTTCCTTAATTTTAACTCCCCCTGCCCTTATCTCATCATCCCATCTTTTAAGTAAGAAGTCCTGCTTGGAGTCTAATTTCAAGCCTTCATGACATGGCATAAGCCAATGTTCTACCTTTATTGGAGTCTGGGGACCGAGGTGGAGGAGGCTGAACTTGCTGGTTAGAGGAGCCACCTCCCCACAAGCAGATGGGGCCAGGAAGGAGATTATGGAGGCGCCAGGCCCAGGGCTCTGACATGCACCTGCCGCTGCTCCAGGGGAGATGGAGGGCCTGCCAATTTACCCCACCCCATGATCTCATGGCTGCATTTGCCAGGCACTGGCTCAGGGAGCAGGTACGGACAGCAGAGCCTGGGCACAGAGCCCAAGAGCAAGAAGACAGGAAGGCTGTCGAGAGCGACCAACAAAGCCATCCTATGAGGCTCAGATACGAGGTCCTCTTGTGTGGCCTTTAACTAGTGACTGACATCTCTGCTCCTCCCCCAAGGCCCTTTCATTCTCCCCAAAAGGCTCCCTCACTGCATGCACCCCTATCCCGTCCCCAAAAGATGATGGGTGAGGCAGGAGAGGCTGTCTCTCATTCCCCAGGGGTCAGCCTCTCCTTCACATCCCTTTCTGCTGAGCACGAACAGAATGCCCTTGTTTTGAAGTGCAGATTTGCTGGGCAGGAGCAGCTGCTGTGACTCCTGGGGTTGCTGCAGGCACACCCCTAAGTGCTAGTTATAAAGTGACCATGAACCCTCTGTTCCAGTCGTGCAGCATACCCAGACGCAGGGCAGATCAGGAGTCAGCCCCAGCCCAGTGCTCTTCCGCATCTTGATTCTCCAGCTGTCCTTCACTAGTCAACTATCCCCTGGATGCCCCTTTCCAAGTGATCCCCTCCACCCACCTCAAAATCCACCACTGGGGTCCAGCGATCCCCTCTGCCAAGCCCAATTAGACAGGCTGCAGCTTCTGGGCCCCACAACCAGAAGACCTGGAAACCCTAAGAGCAAGGAACCATCTGTGTCTTGCTGGACCTCAGGGGCTCCCTTCACCTCCTGATTTATAGGGCAAAGCCTCAGCTTGGCCCAGAGCCCTGCATTCAGGGTACTCTCTCTGCTCCCATCCCACTTTCTCATCTCAGGCCTTTAGCCTCAGCACAGCCAGACACAGATGCCTCTGTCTCCCCACCCAAGAGCTCTCTACCCCTTCCAGCTTCCCAGCCTTGCTTCATAGCCACCCCTTCTATGGCTCTGCCCCTCTCTCCCTTGAGACCCACAACCCAGAACTAATGTCTGAGGTGAGCCTGCTCCTCCCACCTTGGAGCACAGCCTAGGATGTGCCAGTCACCCCAGCCCTCAAGAGAACTCCTCAAAAACCAGGCACTGTCTCTTTTTCATACCCAAAGTCCACTTCACACACACTCTCTCCTCCTCGCCTGACCCCCACCTCCACACCCTCTCTGCCAGGGAGGGAGAAGGCTAGAGTCCCCCCCAAGCTTGGAAACCCTGTGAATCTGAGGTGCCCAGAGCTCAGGCTCCAGCCTCCGACAGAGCAAAGCTTGGAGACAGGCTGATGGGGCACCACTGCCAATTGGCAGCCTGACTCCCTAAGGAGGGAGGACGCTTCTCCATGCTCCCCCAGCCCCACTGGGAGGAGATACCCTGCTCCTGGTTTTTCTCCCCAGCATCCCAGAGAGAGACACTGGAATGGGCCACAAGGCCAAAACCTTATAGAGGAAGACCTGGCTCAAGGCCACACCACATTTCCATGTCATCTTCAACTGGGACCAAGTAAGCTGGGCATGCATGTGGCTGGATAGTCCCCACCCAGGAGGTGGGCAAATTCCTAGGGTACCAGGTCACTGAGCCAGGTCTCTGGGGGAGGGCATCCAGGGACTGTCTTGTTCTGCAATGATGCCACTGAGATGGTAAATGCCAACTGCTCTCCTCACCTGCCACAAGCCATTCCACTCTCCCCTGGTTCTCAGAAGCTTTCACAGCCAGTCCCACCCAGTCCTCACCACAGCTACTGCATGTCCACTCGGCACTTAGATTCCAAGTTACTCTGTGCTCAATGGCCCTTGTTTAAGTGTTATAAATGTTTTGCAAATGTTCTCACACATCTTCCGTGGTTGTCCCTGGTTGTCAAAGTAGTCAGTGTCAGTTAAGATCATTTTGCTGGAGGATTAGTCCCTGGCCTTAAAGAGTGCCAAGGAAGACTTCAAAATCTAATTTTTCTCCTCTGGATAATCAAGCAATCTCATTGATGAAGCTGCCACTGATAAGCAGCTTCTCCCCATATTCAAGTTCTTACCTTGACTGTCAGAGAGGCCCCTCAGGTTGCATGTGGGCAAGTAAGGTTGTATGTGGGCAGGAATCTCTGGGGAGTACCTAGAAGGGTCAGCTACTCCTCAAAGAGACGCTGCTCCCATTGGAGTACTACAAACCCTTCCATGACCAAGTTCACTTTCATGGCTTTGGAGCCAGCCTACATGCTAATGCTGTGTCCCTACCAACACACATGGGTCTTCCCCTCAGAGGTCACAGTAGGCGTAGAAAGAGACTGACCTGAGGTTGAATCTCAGCTCTAGCATTTAATGATTGTGCAGACTTAACCGCTCTGGACCGCAGTTTTGTTATCCATAGAATGAGCGCTATAACAGGAACATTTTAAGAGACTGACAAAGATTGGAATGGGATCTCAGGCACAGAGCACCTCTCAGTAAGGGGCAGCCATTCCCACTGTGGTGCCCCTGCAGCCCTCACCTCCAGCCCACTACTGGCTCGCAGGGAGACCCATGCTGAGGGTGTGGCTGGTGTGGTGGGGGAAGCAGAAGAGAAAATCCCTGGGTTTCAGTGCTCCCCACTGATCTACTATTGTGGAAAGCATTGTCCCACGTCACACCCTGGGACTGGCTAGGTGTCCAGAGCTGTGGGGAAGGAGCAGGGTTCAGAGACAGCTTGGCTCAGCCCTGAAACTCATCCAGGCCCAGGTCCGGAAGGGAGGAGTACCTGGTAACCCTTCCCTGGTACCCCTACATGTCCAGTGCCACCCTCCACCCTGCAGGCCACTCCTGGATGGCAAACCCCTTGGATGCCAAGCTTGGACCTTATCCAGGCAAATGGCCAGAGAGGAGAGACTTCTGAGAGTTGTTGGGGCAGAAAGGGATGTGCTCCCATCTGGACCTGGGTCCTCCTATTTAGGAGGCCAGCCACTCCCGGATGGTGTACGTGGGTACCTTATATAGACTCTGTGGGTGCAGAGGAGGAACAAGGCAATGCCAGATGTCCCCACACCCTTGTCCCTGTCCTGCCCAGAGACAGTGGGTCAGGTGTCTCCTCAATCCCCAGTGAGAAATGCATTTTACACAGAAACAGGCACAGCTCAGTACTTCACAAAATAACACTTTGTAATGCATGGGGATGGTTTTCCATCCTCACCAGTCTGAGGAATCCTGCTGGAGGTGGGGTGGACAAAGAAGACCCCCCACCCCCTCGCCAGCCACAGCATGAGTGCTCCTGCCAGGACAGAGACACTGGGTCAGCAGCCAGGCCAGCTGGTACTTTCGCTCCTTCCTTCCTTCCTTCCTTCCCTCACTCAGCCCCTCCCAGCAGCTTCTCACTAATCCTCACAACAGCCCCGAGCACCAGCATCGTCCTTCCCATTTTATGGATGAGGCTTTCTAAAGGTTTATTGTGTGCTCACTGTGGGCCTGGCAACATTCTGAGTGCTTTACACTAGGAGTTTATCTGTCCCCAGAACAACCCTGGAAGCGGATGCTGCTGTGTCCTCTCTCTGCAGAGGGCCTGCAGCTTCCTCACTCAGGTCACACAGCTAGCCCTAGGCAGGCCTGGAACTAGGTTTCACTGGTGAGCCTTCAGTGAGTCCCTGCTGCTCTGCATGTCCAGGTGCTTTAGGTGGGCAGCCTGCCCTGAAATGGGCACATCAGTGGGCTGGAGGAGGCTCAGGGCAGGAAGAGTGAGAACAACGGCTGCGGTTTCCCAGAAAGGGGGCAACCACCCCACCCAACCCCTCCTTCAGAATCCAAGAGGTTATTTTAACTTAATTTTCTTTCTCTTTCTTTTTTTTTCTTTTGAGACAGAGTCTCACCATGCTGCCCTCGGTAGAGTACTGTGAAGTCACAGCTCACAGCAACCTCAAACTACTGGGCTCAAGCAATTCTCTTGTCTCAGTCTCCCAAGCAGCTGGAACCACAGGCACCCACCATAATGCCCAGCCATTCTTTTTTTGTTATTGCAGTTGTCATTGTTATCCAGCTGGCCTGGGCCAGATTCGAACCCTTCAGTCTGGGTGTATGTGGCCAGTGCCCTAACCACTGAACTACAGGTGCCGTCAACATATTTTAAGTTAATTTTGATCATAAAAGAAACATTGGTGGGAATGGGTGGGATAGGCTCCTTTGGTGGTTTTTCCTGGACCCCTCACTCCCCAGGGGTGGCAAGATCCAAGCCCCTTAGAGGGTCCTGCTCAGATGGGGCCTCTCCATTCACAGAGGCAAGGTGGCATAGGGCTTTTGGGGACCTGCAGTCTGGGGGCTGGCAGAGCACTGTCTATAGGAGTTGATATGGTAAAGTGACCAGACATCCCCCCTTTTGGCAGGACAGTCCCAATTTTTAACAATTTGTCCCACGTCCCACAGCGTTTTTAAAAAGTCCCAATTTCTGGAAAGAATGCAGGACAAGCTAGGGAACAGCGGGAGAATGGGAAGGGAATATACTTTCGGCTGCTGAAAAGGTTAATGTAACTCCATTTGGGAATGAAGAGGTTAATGTAACTTCATTTGGAAATGAAAAGGCTGGCT